TTCTTTATATATAAACATCAAATGTATATTTCTATACTCTCAAAAGTCATAAATGCACTCGAATAGCAATCGTCATTTTAAAATATAAACACACACACAAAAGATCACAAATACACTTGAATATCGTTTATAATCTCGAAACATAATCACACACACACAAAAGATCAAAGATACACTCGAATATCGTTCATAATCTTGAAACATAATCACACATACATAATAGACAGATACACTCGAATGGTCATTTTTATGGTTTCATCGCACGATGCCGTTTATGTCATTATCAAGGAAAGGCGAAATAGATCCTCTCATCGCATGGATAGTATACACACAAATCACACAATGACCACAACAGATATGTTTACTAGGTGACCCACACTCACACAAATGTTTATCCATGTTTGGATTAGGTTTCAAACTCTATCCATGTGCAGGTTTACCATACCCGCTGAACTTCAGTCACACACACACTTCCCTCCTCGATTCATACTAAAGAAGAAGGTATTCGAGCTCTTTACCCTATTCACTCATACCCTCTCATATCAAAATTCTTAATTTGTTTAAATGATTATTTTTTAACCCAATTATTTCTTTTCCTTTATATTTTTACATTTTTATTTTATTTTTTTTCTTTCAATTTTTCCTTCATTGGGAATTTTTCTTTTCAATTTCAAATTTCATCAGTCCAAATAACTCTCAGTCTATTTGGTCTGTTTTCTGGTTTCGTCTCCTCATAGGGTTCTAATTGTTTAGCTTTATTGATCATAATTTGGATTTTATTTTTTATCAAAAATTGGGTCAATGTCCGTTCAAATTTCAAAATTCATAATTTAATGAAATGAATGCACTTTTTAAATTTCGAAACCGGTTGATATTTAGAAATACTTACTCATCTACGTGTCTTTCCGGATCCGCCTAAAGGTCCAAATTTTTCTGTACACACGACATGATTAATTAAAATACTTCAAAATACTAAAATTTTATTTAATCAAATTACGGGTTCCAACGACCACCTAATGAAATACCTGAAATTATCATGATCAATACCCGAAAAATCTTTCGGCGAATTGGATTTTCGTTTTCTGAGAAAGACTTTTCAGCTTCCCGAATGACAAACCAGATTTTTGTTTCTCAAGAAAGACTTTTCAACTTCCTGAATGGTAAATTAGAACCCTAAAATGGTGGACCAGGTTCCCATGCTCGAGGAAAATCCTTCGACTTTCCAAATAGGTCGACTTTCCCCATTCCCGAGGAAACCTCCTCAGTTTCTGCACGGGTGAGTGACCTAGCCGAACCCATGCGGCTAGTCCGACATTAGCCCCACCCCACCACTGCTCAACCACCACCAAAATATAAAAATAAAATGGTTTTACCTTTAAGCGTAGGCGATTTGGCCTTGGTTTAGCTCCTGGTTTCCTCTTCTCGGTAAACTCGCGACTCCCTTGTATGTTTGCGACTGGAATGGTGAATTTTTATGCCTAGAAAAGACGAAAAGGACAAAGCTTTGCCTTGCTTGCCTCGGTCTTTTCCGTCACACGACATCTCAGTCATTCCTTCTTTATCCTTCTTCCTTTCGGTTTAGCTTCCACACTCTCTTGCCTCCGTCCCTCTCTTCTTTTCTTCCTCCCTCGCGGCGGTCACTCTTTGGCTCCCCTTCTCTTTCCCGCTCGGCCCGTCCTCTTTTTTTTTCTCCTTCATCCTTTTTCTCTATTTTCCCTTCCTCTTTCTGGCCTCACTCTTCTTTCCATCTCCTTTTTTTTTCTCTCAGCTCTCCTCCCTTGATAGATCTCCTCTTTTCCCTCTCACATGGTCGACTCTCTCCTTTTCCCTCTCATTTTCGGCTTTTCCTCTCAAAATAAGGAAAAACCTAATCTTTTCCTTATATACCCATCTCTTTGGCCATTGGATCTAACCAGCTTGATCTGGGCCATCCGTTCTCTTTTAAAATCTCTTCCATCAGATCTCTTCAAGCAATCCGATCTGGTCCGTCCATTCTCCTGATTTCCTTTTCCCTCTTCCACTTCTCCTTATTTATGTTTTTACTCATTTTTTTTCTTGCATACCTTCATTTAAGTCCTTGAATTTACTTAAAAACTCCAATTTTTAAAAATTTCTTTCATTTACACTCAAACTCTAAATTTTATTTACATTTCTTTTCTTTTATGTGGATATTACAATAAATTTGAATTGTATTTCTATAAAATAGAAGAACATCTATAAGTATAATAGACACAATATAATCACTCCTAATATGGCCCTATTATATTTAACTGCTTAAGTAAAAAACAAAAAAAAAAAATCATAAATGCTTTTTTAATAGTCAAACGTTTAACCATGGGTGGTATCATGATTGTCGATAGAGTAATGTAAGATTGCAAAAGAAATTAATTGATCGCAAGAGTGATTCACAAGTTCAAATAAGCATGTTAAAGGATGAGATATAGTTGAATTAAGTTAACTGGCTGAGATATTGACCAATAAGGCTAAGTTAAAGTCCATTGCATTTACAAAAGTGATCAGGGAAAGAAACTGTTTGGATGGTTCTTTAACTAGGACGGGGTAGATAAAGAGGCAAAATGGATTATATAATGAATATAATAAGTGCAAAGAAAGGAGTGTAATTCTTGATTGACTTTATATTGGGTTAACTTGTCTTCATATTGGTATTTGTATGCAAGATAGAACTCCGAAGCAAGTCTGAGATGGACTTTTACAGTGGAGTTTGTTGTTAAATTTTTTAGTTGTCAATGTGTCCAAGATGGTATGTGTACAATTCGTTATTGTGTTTTCATATCATATACATAATGTTCATATTATAGTTTTATGTCACATAAATATTATCAATAGTTGGACATTACCCCATACAGATGGTTATTATTTTGTAAGCCACACCTTCTTTTTAACTACGGGGTTTCATAAGATGGTTTTTTGGAGATGATTCTTCCTTGCTTCCACTACAACTTATGGCCATGTTTGAGAATGGTATATGAAGCAAAAAATCATATCATGTTTTTTATGTGCAAATCATATCATGGGTACAAACCACCAGTACGGTTCTCTAAATATAGAGGACTGTTATTCAATTTGGACATCTCTAAGTCCTCAACTTTTGATTGATCTTAAACTTTATAATTTATCTTACGTGAGGCACAACGAAAGTAATATAATAGATACACTAGTTACAAATTGATAAATATATAATGGCTATGTTTTCGGGAAGCCTTTTCTTGTTTCTATATATATATTTTTTTTGTTTCTTTATGTAACACTAAAATTTAGTCGTATGGAGGAAGATGGAAATCAAGTTGGCATATGCTTTTGTCTCTAATGACACCTTTGCATTTTTTTTAATTAACAGTGTCACATTACTAATTGGCATGTAAAATATGTGTAGAGATTACTAATGTATTTTAAATCTATGTGAAGAAGTACATAATTACTTATGTGTTTTTGATGTGATTATTTTTATCACATAAAACTTTCTTAATGTATTTTTCACGCATTTAATAAGTGAACAGTTTTTTATTCTAAAAATTACTTTTCTTCAAGGGAGAAAAAACCAAAAGATACAACTAAATAGTGCACATTCTAGGCCAACTCTCTTCCTCGTAAAAAAAAAAAAATTATTTTAGCCCTTGCGCTATAAATTCTCATTACCTATCATATTTATTATAACTTTTGAGGTGAAAAAAAAAAAAAAGAATTTCAAGTGAAAAGGTCACCTTCATTGATTCCTACAATATTTTAGTCTCTCAGTGCTTCATCTTGTACTCTTACTCTTTGATAGGAAAATACTTGAGATTTCATTTTCTACTTTTTTGTTATTATAAAAGAAGAGTAGAAAATAAGTAATGCTTGTACATTATTTAAGTGATATTAGAGAATCCCTAATAACAAATTAAAATAATAGCTAAGCCCCTAAATTTTAAGCAAATAAGAAACGGTGGATAATAATGGCTAAGCCTCCATTCTTTAGGCAAATAAGAAAGGATGGATCATTTTATTTAGTTTCTAAAAGATAGAAAATATCCAATTTATGATAAAATACAAAATGTATACATTAATTCATATTCTTCCTTCTAGTTAAACCATACATAGATTTTCAAGTAAATACCATGTGAATTAATTAATTCATAAAATTTTACAATTTATTTTTTAATATAAAATAAGATAATATTGATATGCAACAACACTATTAAGATCTTATATACCATATACTTTAAATAATTCATTTTTTTATAAAAAAAAAAATTGTATGTTTGACACCCCTAAATCAACTACTAAAAAAGAACACCATCTAATTGTCTTTTTCTCTTTGTCAACTTTCAAAATTCTAATCTTAAATCACCAAACATCCCTCAAGAAATCATGTACGTATATATATATTAAGGGGCCTCAATCTTTATTTTCGAAAGCAAGATTGAAGAAAAATAAAGGGTAAAGAAAATCTCTGTTGGATTTTGAATGTATACATATATATATATATATATATATATATATTTGCCTCAAATGGGGTGTAGACACGTAATGTAGATATAATATGTGGTGAAATGTGCCTTAAAGCAGTAAAAATATTTATTTACCTTTTCCGGTCACTTTTTACGAGGATAAAAAATGTTGGAAAAAAAGAAGTACCTTGTCTTGGACAGCACTAGTGGGCCTAAAGGCCTATCTCTTGCCATGTCAGTGGGCCCTGTTCTATTCTATCTCAGGTAGCCTTTTTAGCTAGCTACGTGTCCATCTCTGATTGGGTACATTGCCACTTGTAGGGTACGGCTTTCCCCAGTCAACAGAAACAATTCACAGTCCCTAAAAATACCAATAAATAATATTAGGAAAAATAAGTAGTATATTTTATATTTTTATTATCAAATTTAATAACTATTATTAAAATTACCTATTTCTTTTACTAAATAGTTATATATATATATATATATACATACATAAAAATAAATAGTTTAAGTTGTGAGAGAATGTTAACTTAATTCTAGATGTTGGTCTTAGCTTACTTACAAACCAACTTTATTTACTAACAGCATTAATTTGCTCTATATATATAATACAATTACATGTCTCTTTTATGATAAGTTTTACGAAAATATATAGATACATACGCATATATATATATATATATATGTAAGAGTGTAGCATCAACTGCTTATTTCCTTGAATTCCAAATCCAATGACAAAAGTTAATATTTGTGTGTATGAAGTTCTGAAAAATCATAGCATCCACCCAGGAATGAACCCATTAATGTTCTGCGACGAGCTTGCGATGATCATCTCATCTGCCGTCACTGCAGGATTATAGCTGCAAAAACAAGTAGAAGATTTATTCATAACTACATAGAATAACAGATAGATGCATAATATATATGAATGTTCTGTACATATATATATATATATATATACGCATGTTTAATTAAGTTACCCAATCTGCAAAGTGTTGTTGCATTGTAGAGGTTGGTAAAAGGCATCTGGGTTAGTAAGCTCCCGGGAGAAAGGAATGTTGTGATCGGTAGTTTCCCAGGAGTGGGGTTGAAGGGCTGCATCACTTGCCTCCAACTGATCCATAATTTACCAAAACAATTCAATACATTATCTAATAATCTACAATAATTCCACTTTGATTTTTAAGTAATTGATTGAATTGATTATTAAAAAGAAAAACATGACTGGTATAGTGTCAAAATTGGATTGGAAGAAAAGGCAAAGAGGACTCTGAAAGTGAAACACATGAGCCCCACTACTAGGTTTAAGATGAAAAGTTGTATATAATGATGCCTAGATATATATATATATATATATATATTATATGGTTATGGGAAAGATTATATACCTTTCTTCTTAGGACTCTGTTGGTGTCCATCAGCATCTCCTCCTGTGTCAGCAAACTGAGTAGTATTAAGAAATTCTTGATGTCTATTAAATATATATCTATAAAAGATTGAATGAAATCCTTGTTATATATATATTTATATATATATATGTATATACATATGTACCTTCTTTCTAAGTTCAGAAAGCTGATCAATCATAAACTGGGTCTGCGGACAAATTAAAATATTTAAGTTTCTATACATATATTACATGCAGTTTGGAAAAAAATATATGTTAAATTTAAAACCAGTGTTTGCACTCACATATTTTCCAGGAAAAAACAAATAAAAGAGAATTTCTGTACACAAGTTTTAGAGACAAACATGTAACATTAATGATGTATTATGCTATATTCCATGGAGTGAAAAGTTATAAATTCTTATTTTCTTATCTAAAATTTAATAATCTTAAGAAAATGAGATTAACAGGTTATATCCTATCGTAAATCTTTATATATTCTTTTGTAATTATTTTATTTTATAAAATAGAATTATAAATTTTTATATTTTTATTAAAAATTATACGATAAAAATTAAATTATGATATAATAGAATTAACTCTTGTACTATCTTATGATATTAGAAAGAGTTATTCAACGATGTATAAATATTATTAATTTTTGTATTAATCGATATTCTTAAACACCCTCTTTCCTATAGGGCGTGTATATAAACAAATAAAAAAAAATAACTAAAATACTAAATAAAACTAAGTTATAATGTAAAATTAACTTTCGTACGATCTAAAATCAAATAATGTTAAAAAGAGTTTTCTAACAAGTATGTAAAAAGAATTTATAATACTCATGCATACAAGTTTTTGGAGATATATGCAAAACATTACATACAATGGCTTTGGGTGATCATGCTATTCAAAAGAGTATAAAGTTAAATATTCTTATATTCTTATCCAAAAACATGAGGTACTACAAAGGTTCATTCAGTAAAATCTAAACTATTATAAATTCTTATATTTGGTATTAATTATCATTATATTTTATATAGTATAGAGTTAAAAGTTCATACATTTTATTCGAAATTATATGATCAAAAACAAAGTATGAGGTAGAGTTAGCTCGAATACCAACTTATGGTGTGATTTAAGAGTTATCTAATAACATATAAACAAATATGAATTTTATAATGATCAATATCTCTCAATACTCTTTATGTAAGTCTACGTCTTTTAAGATAGTTCTTCAATTGGAGTGTGTACACAAATATAACAAAACGAATAAAATATTAGATAAACTAAGTTATTAAATTTAATTGAATTTGATAAGATCTTACATTCTTACACAATCATAATGTTAAAAGTAGATTCAATAGCTATATAAAGTAGTATTAATCTTCCTAAATAGTCGATTGGAGATTATGTTTCTTAATAAAATTAAAAGAGAGTACCTTTGTAGATCTAACTTGCCTCAATGACATATCAAGTTGATGCTCGAGTTGCTCGAGTTCTTTGGTGCCCAAATCTCCTAATTCTTCACCAAGAAGATGTCTACATAATAATGCCAAATCTAGAATTGCTGATCAAACTTCTCAAACTTCACAACTAACTGCTATAAAGATTACATTGTAAACAACCTAAGATTTGAGTTTCATTAATTCTATTTTCAAAGATATACAATGTTGAGTTACCTCTGAGAATGTTGTAGGATCTCAACTTTTGATTTGAGCTTTAAGTAATCTTGGTAGTTATTCTGCTTCAGCAGATCATAAACATTAATTTAAGCTTTGCCAAATAAAATTTCCACTAAGGAGGAGCAGAAAAAGTGTTTTAAATTAATTACTAAAATTAATTATTTCTTTTCCAACTCCATTATCATGCAACTGTGATGTAATTAATTATAAAGTAAGTGGAAAGGAATGAGGAACCTGCTTATCTCTTGCTGTTTGAGTTGCTTCCAGTGCCTCATAACTCACCCTTTGGTATCTCTCAAGTGTCTTCACCATGCTGGAATATAAATATATATATACATATATATATATATATATATATATATATATATACACTGTGTCATAATTGCAATTGCACAATAACTATAGTTTAATTCAAATCTTAATTATTTAATATATAGAATTTTAACATGTTAAGAGTACTTACAAATATTTTATTACTGAATATGTAGAACCTTTAGAAATGATTGAAATTTGAACATCACCAAACTACCACATTAACAAATACACAAAAAAATAAAGCAAAAAAAGTTATATGACCACTTTCAAACTTGGTTATTTTTTTGATAATATCTTATAGGGAGATAAACAAATTATTATAACTATAACTTAATTTAAAATTTTTGAAAACTAACTACCAGTTGAAACCTAAAATATTTATTGATTGAATACAGTACTACATTTGACACGATAATATATATTAGTCAAGCTAATTCAATATTAGACTAAGTTAATTCAATACTAGACCATTTAGATTTTTGATTAGAACATTTGTATATGTGAACTTGAAGAAAACATAAAAAAACCATACAAGGGTGATAATAAAAAAAAAAATCGATCTCACATGGGATGAGTTTTCTAGGGGAAAAAAGAAAAGATGAGAGTCCATCAAAGAGCACTCAAACGTACCACCTAATAAAAGATATAAACATGACAACAATAAGCAAAGTTTTCTTTTATGATACCCCTACATGCTTTGCCAATTTAACATATGTCCCTTGAACAAAGACCAAACATTTTGAGATAAACATTCCAAAATAAAAATAAAAATAAAAATTTAGGGAATAACAAATATTTCAAAGTTCTCTTGATTTTTCTCATTCTAAATAACTCATGAAATAGGTTAAGAATAAAATAAATAATTTTTTCCTTTCTTATCATGAAAGAAAACTTTCAAAGCCTACAACTTATCTTTCGAAGAACTAACAATCATCCACTACATTTTGAGGAAATCTAAAAGCCACAAATCATAGAAGACAAAAAAGCAAACATTTTAACAAAAGATGGTTTTAGGTCTTAGCTATTTTATTCTATAAAAACTTTCGTCCACAAAGATCTTTTTTGTCCTGTGCAATTCTCAATACTGAGAATCTCTCCACAAGAAGCTTCCTCCAAGCAAAAATAAGAAACTGGTTCTAGATAAAGCATCTTTTCTTTTTTATCACTTTTAAGAAAAGCAAAAGAACCAAGGAAAGTTCGAACAATCTAAAGATAAAATAAATTTAATTGAAAAAATCTTTATATTATATGTTCCAAATCTTTTACATATGAGCTTGCATGTTCTTAATATGGGTAAATATCTTCATGTAATTGGATATGTCTTATATGTTGTTATGCTGATTGTAATTTTATATATAGAGAAAGCATTTTAACTAAAAGAATTTTTAGATTATAGATTACAAATCTTTTAGATGTAAGCTCTCATGTTCTTGAGTAAGAATGTTTAACATCTTCAAGTTCTTATATGATATAGTGATTATTGTAAAAGGAAAGAAATTGACAATTTAGGTCTCATATATTAATAATATAACAACAAGTAGTTTCCTTCATGAAAAAGAGTTGGCTTGTCAATTGTCCAAAAAAACAAAACTTAATTCAACAAAAAAATAGCTCACGTATTATTTCTTATGTTTGACATGGACCTTCAATCGAAATGTTCTATACAAACTATGCACATGACAAACGAAGAAGTTCCAGTTGTGAGGTCACAGACAGGTGAATAATAGAGAGGCTAATGGAGAGAGGCAAAGGCTGCCAAGTTTGAACTGAAGAACTTCTAATACTAATTGAAATAATATGATAATTAAGCTATCCATACTCCCAAATTTCAAATTAACAATAAATTATTCAATTTATTTATTTTTATTATATTTCACATTTTTTAACAACTTAGTCTACACTAACTTTGTCAGGATTCAATAAACTATAATTACTTTTTTTCCATAACCTTCCAATACTGGCCGATCAGTGTTTATTATATGTTTACTACCTTTATTACTTTACAAACTAAGTTAGGGGGAATGTGTGATAATGTTTTTTTAATGTTTATTCACTAACATATTTATTTACTTAAATTTTTTTACATATTTGTAACTTCGGTTCATTATCATCAATATTTACTTTTGAGTGATGAATTGGGTATCAAAGTAATTACAGAAATATATTTATCGAATTAATTTACTGTTAAATTCCTTTACAAATAGAATATAGCCAAAGTTCGAGTCCAGCCTAATTAAGATGATCTCTTCTTAGAGTTTTATTTTAAAAGACATTTTTTGTAGAGAGAATTTTTCTTATAGAGAGTAAAATCTCATAAGAAATAGAAATACTTAGTTCTAAATGACATAGGATAGAAAATACATCATAAATAAATATAACATTCAAATTAAAAAAAAATTGCGTGCTTATAATTGTACCTTTATTAGCCAATATTGAGAAGTAAGTTCCTAATATAATGTTAATGATGTGGTTATAGAGTTTGTTCAAGTTCAAAAGAAGTATCTATCAAAAAAATTTTATCCTACAAATTGTACTTCTCTAGGAATTGATAGTGATCTCCTATATAAGCGAAGATAAATTAAGTAACTCTAATTAATTTGAGGTTACTTATTTTTTTTATATATTAACATAATCAAATCAATTTTTCTCATTCTCTATATCATCTGTTCAAATAAAATCTCCAAATAAGATGATTATCGTGAATTTAGAGGATGTTTTAGATTAAAATGCGAAAATAGAATGAAGCTAAGAAATTGAAGATGAAGAAAAAGTAATTATAACAAAGTAAAAGACTGTTTTTTTCTTTGATACGAAAAGAAGATTCACATAAACAAAGAAATTGATTTGCAAATATATTACCTTGTGGAGAAAAGTTTTACACAACTCTTGTCCAATATCCTAGATATACAAACACAATCTTTCTAACAATCAAATAAATTTTTAATTGATTAAAAATATTAATGAATATGTAATTCATAAGTGTTTCTTTGTTAGTTTTGTCATTTTTTTAGGAGAAAATCTTATTCATTAACTGTAATATGAAAATGAATTTTTTTAGAAGGAATATTTGTTGAATCTTTTAGACATTGAAAAGTAAAGCAGACTTCTGGGAGGCAAGGAAATCACCTTATATCAATTTCTATCAGCTTGAAAATTTTAAATATGATCCATTTTAAATATACAGTGAAATGCTTAAAGGATTAGTAAAATGGATAAGGTTTGTATGCATGTATGTCTATTCAGTAACTTCATGTCCAACTGGAAATGTTGCCATTTTGAGGACATTGGTCTTAATAACTGTAGACCGTATATGATATCGAATACTACACAATACTGAAACCAAAAGAAACGGAGATGTTGTATAACCTACAATGATACATACAAATACATAAATATGTGTAAGTTGAGGAAACAACATGGTGGGTCATTATGTTATAGAATGTTAAAATTCTTCATGCGAATACTATTTTTTTATTTTGCATTTCAAAAGAAATTGTAAAAGAAATTTATGTTGAGAATAAAGCCAAGCGAGCCATACATGTATAAGCATGGAAAATACATACGTGGAAGCAGATTAAACCTTTGTACACAGCTCGTAGATAATCTGTCGGATAAGAATAATACTCATAGGTGCTTAAACCATTAGAAGCATATTATCATATATGAATCTAATTTATCTTCTTTTAGGATCTTTTCCTTTAGCTAATCTCTTAATATATTCCACAGAATTTTTATCATATCATTAAAGTTCGAAAAAAAAGGTATGTGAACGGGATCAATAAATGGAGAGGAACCAAAGTCAACTAACGCAGGAATTATACAATAACAAGAACTAAACAAGCTTTTAAGTTAGAAGAGTTAATTCAATGACTCTAGACTAGCACAAGTTTAAAATAATCATTCTAACTAATAGTGAGTGATATTGTTCAGAACAAGCAATTCATTTCTTAATCTTGTTAGTCTTAGTAATAAGTGGAACTTGCCATTCCATAATCAAGTTGTGGGTGAGCATATATGCTAAGGGAATGTTTGTACTAGCCTGGAATATGCACTCAAAAAGGTGTAGGAACCGTGGATTTCTTTTTTTGCATAGCAACTGCTCATATCAAAACGGTGCATATTGTTTGTTTTTACTCAGAACTTATATTTATGGACTCAGTGTGCTCTTTGCCTGATTGGGTTCCCGGTAAAAAACATGATTTTGCTCATAAAGTTCTTAATTATGAGAAACTAAGGGGATGGCTAATACCAAATACGAGTGCTGATGGAAAACTATTAGTGCTTTGTTGATTTGTATAAGAGAAACCAAGTTTTGGTGTACACAGCAGTTGGCTCAAAGGTTGTTGTTTGTGGCTCGCAGTGGTATTTTCTGGTGGCTATATATGCAAGGATTTATAGTTTCCTTCTTATCTAATAAACTATTTTTGCAGTTGATAAAGAAGAAAAGGACTTCTATTTGAGCTGAAGTTTATAGATTTAGAACCAAACAAGAAGCCTTTGATGCTTAATTGATGGGAACCCCACTCACTTCTTATTTGAAATTTCTATTTTGTTTATGAATCTCAGTTAGCTGGAGAAAGTTTGTTTGCTTTTTAATGAGGGAGTCAAAGAAATAACAGTGGAGCAAGAACAAAATCAAGAAATTCAATAATAAAAAGATTTAATTTCTCTAAAAATCAAGTTTCTGTTTTTTCATTGAAAGTTATTTATTAATAAAATATTATTATTGTTCTGTAAAGGAGGATCTACTGCAGAAATCAGCACAGCACCCAAATAAATGGGGCTTGATGATACCTAGGAAATTCATCTACATAACAATTTCTGCACTGGAGGTAAGTGAAGAAGAAGACCCCTCACAAGAGACAAGTTCAAAGAGGATTGATTCTAGATCTGAGATCATAAATACCCTGAACCAAGAAAGGACGAGTTTTTTTACTTTGTCGCTGGAGACCTTCCATATGGTTAATTCTTCAAACTTTACCATCAACATCATCATCAAACACAAAAAAGTCTGGCAACATATATAATCACAGAAACAACAACAAAAAGAAACACACAAAAAATAAATAATTTTCAAAGAAAAACCAAACACATAAACAAATGAAACCAAAATGAAAATGGAAATAACAGAAAAACAAAACCCAGAAAAATGAACCAATTAAGAAACGAAAGAAAGAAATGGTAAGTGAATACGTACCTAGAGCTGCTACAGAACTCATAGAGCTTGCCACGAGCAGAGAAGATGATGAGAGCAATCTCTGCATCACAAAGGACTGAGAGCTCGTAAGCCTTCTTGAGCAACCCATTTCTCCTCTTAGCAAAAGTGACTTGTCGATTTATTTTGTTCTCTATCCTCTTCAGCTCCACTTTGCCTCTTCCCATGTTTCCCCTTTTCCTTTTCTTTTGCTTTTTTGTGGTTACAAGTAGTAATAGTAATAGTATTTGCTTTGCTTATCAACTTATATTAACCCCAAAAAGAGAAGTAATACATGTTCTGGGTAGTGACCATAAATGAGCATATATAAAAATGTAGAGTAGATGTAGAGCATTCTCTGATTCTTTTTTATTAGGGCAAGAAAGGAGTTCGTCTTTTTGTAAGTAGGTATCAGGTTAACCTAGAGAGAGAGCGAGAGAGAGAGAGAGAGAAAGTGAGAAAGATAAGTGGGGTACGTTGTGTTTCTCTTCTCCTCCCTCCTTTGCCTTGGCTTGGCTACTGTGTTTTCTCATACCAGGCCAGGAAAAGAATATTACTTGTATTGCATTACCATCTGTCATCTGCAGAATTTCTTCTTTCATTTTGCATTTACTTTTAATTTAACATTTTTTAAAATATACCAACTATCAAAATAAATATTTATATATATTACCCTCATTTTATTTAAAATATTTTTCAAGAAAAGATTAATTTGTTTCTTTTTTTCCATTAATCTTTTTTGCTTTTTTAAGTGTTTTCAAATAAATAATTAAGATCCTTTGCTTTTAAGAGAGAAGAAAAAAAAAAGGGTTCCACTAGATTAATGCCATCTTTGAAAAGTAAAAGCATCTTCTTCGTTTCAATATGCAATTAACAGTTAATTCAACATTGTTAATCTTAACTAAATGTGTAAGTATATATAATATCCCCTATATAGTCACAAATATAATTAAACATCTGTATTAAAAGAAAAGAAATATCTAATTGTTGACCAAAATCTGGACCTACGAGACCTAGTCAAACTCTTCAACAAGCTAAAAATTTAATCTTTCTTTTTAGGGTTCCATTTCTCTGTCTTTGAATCTTATGCTCCATTCGACTAATCTAATCATTGTAATATCAAATATTGCTTCACAAGATTTGAAAGTCTAACTAAATTATTATCTCACTTTTTATTTAATGTTTTCTTTATAGATCGACGTCTTGCATATATATATATATATATATATAATCATGATTCGCATAATATCACATGGAGGATAAGATGTTGGAAGAGTATTAATCAAATTGTTATGTTCAAGATGTGCTTCATTCCCAACATGATACGTTAAATGTTGAGAGCACAAGCATATCGAGCTCTTTAGAGGGAATCAAAGTGTTTTTCATGTAGTGTTCCTTAAAGAAAAAGTATGTTTCATATAGTGGAAGTAGCTACACTTATATATCCATGGGATAAAAAGGTAATAACATGAATAAAAATGTAATAGATCCCTTCTACTAGGCACATTTTCTTGCTTTCTAATGACTTATAGTCTATATGATTCTCAATAAGTATTATGTATATATTTGCAAATTATCTACTAGGCATATTCGAAAAACATATATATTATCATAAAAATATTAATGAATCTGCAATGTAAATTTTTTAAACTTTCTTCGGTTGTAGTTTTTGTCATCGCCCTCTATATTACTTTGTAAATAAAGTAATTACATGATTCTTTAATCACTGTCTATAAAAATATCTCAAAAGTAAAAAAAAAAAAAAGATATAAAGTAATGTTGTGATAGAAAAGAAGTAATAATTACAACCATTAAAAACGATCATTTTCTATATATTAGTGAGCGGTCATTAGAGATAGATACGATGTGGGTATAGCGTGTGTATGTTAACTCTCATAACCCTCCACTAGTAAAAAAGAAATGAACTAATCCATTCCCCAAGTTGATAGAAAATTTTTACCTAAATCTTCCTCATGAGTGAGGTAACCTACTGGTAACCTGTTGTATGTACTCTTTTTTTTAAAAAAAAAAATTTATAAAATACTTATATAAATAATTAGATGTAATTAAAAATTTTAAATATTAATTAAAATAAATATATTTTAAATAATATTTAAACACAATATTCAATAAAAAATAATATTATAAATATACAATATTAAATATTTATCAACCAAAATTTATGAAATTGAATAATTTTAAAAATTAAATTAAAAGTTTATTAATCATATATATTGCGGGTGACACGAGTGCAGGGAAAAGTAAATCATTTACTTCATATCCAACTTGTAGCAGCCCCGGAAATTTAAAATGGAAATTATATTATAAATATCAAATGCGGAAGCGAAGTCAAAATTTGAATAACATCCCTTACACTAAAACCAAAAACGTGCTCACAAAATATAAAAGATTAAACTACCTAAAGGAGAAACTTGAAAGTAAAAAAAACTACGAATGTAACTAGGGAGTCTTTAGGTGTCCCCTTCGTCGTCCTCCTGCGGAAACGGCTCGGGAACGATGTCCTCTTGATCTGAAATGATTAAATAAGGAATGAGCTACACTAGCCCAGTAAAGACATCACGATATCTCACCGTCACGGAGGTAAAGGTGGGTAGAAAACACAAAAAGACCAATGGAGCATAATTTACAACAAATCCTTTTATTAATAATAAAACTTTTACCATTCACTTATCTCGGTGAAATTCATAAAACAATATCCGAAAGCAATAACATCATCATCATCATGAAAACATATATATGAACTGTATAACATAATACCTATCAAACTTTTCGTAATTCAATCGTTACACAACATATTTTCCTGATTCACCAGTCCACTAGTATCCATGGGGATCCATAGGGGTCCCGCTACCCGTTAATCCTTAACACTTGAAATCCATTCCAGGACCGTCCCCATACCCCGTCCGGTATGAGCGCCAAACCATAGACCTCATTACCCCGTCCGGTATGAGGGTGAAACGGGCCGTCCCCATACCCCGTCCGGTATGGGCGCTAAAACATAGACCTCATTACCCCGTCCGGTATGAGGGTGAAACGGGCCGTCCCCATACCCCGTCCGGTATGGGCGCCAAAACACATAAGATCTCCATACCCCGTCCGGTATGGGAGACCACAATCCCGGTAGGGTTCCCTACGGACCCGGTCCGTCCATCATCTCCCAGGATATCTAGTCAGGCTGACCACATTATACCATTACCCATTTATATAATTTTTCATTCTCTTTTTCCTCAGTCAGCATCATTAATCCACATACAAGCAAGCAAACAGTAATTTATGCTAAACAGACAACATACAGCATCAATATCCCGGTCATTTAATCCATAATCAATAAAACAGTAAAATATGCACACGAAACTATAAAATAAAAACATCGAACCTCATGCTGCATTTAAAACTGTAAAACAGACCAAATAACAGTTAACCGACAAATACACTAGACTTGGGCTCCATTAGTGACCTTAAGCAATTTCACATATTCGTTGATTCATGAAATACCGTTTTATCATTTATTGAACTTTAAAACCGTGATAGGAAATAAGGTGAGGGGTCCTTACTCGTTTCGGGGTCTGAACACGGCTTCACAGTGCGCTTGCAGGCTGTCCCTAATTTTTCCTGAATTTTCCTCGGGGAACTGAAACGCACTACTGGTACCTGCATGTGTTCCCAAAAAATCCCAAATTAGGCCCAGGGCCCCTTTCGGCCCAAATCGCAACTCCGGCACGGCGGCTCCGATTTGGCCACAGGAGGAATCAGCGTGGAAAAACGAGTCGGGGTACGAAATTTACCTCGATCGGCGGTCGGAAGTTCCTCTGGTGCGGCGGCCGGCTTCTGGTTCGTCTTCTCCGGCGAGCGGCAGGCGGCTAGGGTTTGTGGTCTGGTGTGGGGGTTCTATTTATAACCCCTTGCCTTTTGATCTCAGCCGTCCATTTTGTTTTAATCTGGGCCGTCCGTTTTTTATTAAATCTGGGCCGTCCGTGCGTTTAAATCTGGGCCGTCCGATCGCGCCCACGCTGATCGCCAACGTGGCCCTTTTTGGAACGACGTAGTTTTGCCACGTGGCAGGTCCCGGTTGGCCGGGCCTGCTGACGTGGCTTTTTTTTTCTTTCTCGGTCCGGGCGCTACACAACTCATATCTATTTTGAGTTTATAACTTTTTATCTGCTTTTACCTCATATTTTATTAATTACAGTTTTTACTCACTTTATTTGAGATGGTTTGAGACAGACTAAGATTCAAACACTTCAATATTTATTCCTAGAGATCAATGATAATAGCATTATGAAAGGATGTTAATATATTTGGTTTTATACATTGTTAATAGAATTATTCCTAATAGCAAAGTAATGGTACATTAGTCATGACATGTTTGTTGGCTAATAATATTGTTATGTGCACGTTTTATTTGGACTAAATTTGATTGCATTTTTGGTTTTACTTGTTTGGGATTGTGATGATGCAATATATTTAATGATTGGAATTTGTAACAACCTACATCCAAGATTAGTAAGATTATGATAAAATGTGATATGAATTTGTGACTAAATTTTAATTATGGATTGAGCATGTGGTAAATTTTTAGTTTTACATAAAATATAAGTTATAAAATTAAGAAATTGAATACAATTGTTAGGATTATTCATAAGTTGGTCCATATTGAAAATTGAGTTGATTTATTTCATCTCCGGTCCAAAGTTTGGAAAGACCAATTTTGCTTTAAAAAATTTTAAATATATATGTGTATGTGTGTTTATAGATTATGATGGTTATGAATATTGTGAAATTTAAAGAGAGTGAATTTTTTGCATATTGCCAATAAAACATATACATAGGTATACACAAATGTTACAAAGAGAAAAAAAAAAAGGTACGAAATTATTATTATAGATCAACTAAATTCTTTATGTAAATGGAACTCCTTCATTTTTTCAATAATTTTAGGAAGATTAATTTCCAAATTTCCAAATTTTAAGGTAGGAGATATAAGACTTTTTCAACCTCCCCCTCAAACAGGTGACATACATCTTCCATATTCAACTTGGAGGTAAGTGAGTGAAACTCATCATTTAAAGTCTTTTTGCTAGCATATTTATAAGTTTATCATTAATTAAGATATGGAGTACAAATTAATTCACTATCCAATTTTTCTTGTACGGTTGATCTACCTAGTCCAATATTTTGCTTTGCTCTATCATGTTACACATGATTGTAAGGAATGTTAATACCCAATTGGGTACCTAAAAAAAAACCTATGGAATATATATACATATATATGTATATGTATATATATAATTAAACAAAAGGAAAAAAATTAAAGAAAGAAAGAAAAGAAGAACATAGAGTGTACTCCGGGAGCAGAAAAAGAAAACACGTGGTCGTATATAATATATATACGTATATATATATATAATTAAGTAACAAAAAAAGAAAAGAAAGGAAGAGAAAAAAAATAGATAGAGAAGAGAGAGGGTCGAGCGGCATCGACATGAGAGAGAGAAGGGTCACACGATGTTGCGTG